GGAGGACATACCTAGATGGCTGTCCCTACAGAACCCAAATTTCCTCAGTCCTGGTCCTCTATCTGTGTGATTACATCAAATATTTTAACCAAAGAGTCTAGAAAATGTGAGAAAACAAAGAGAAAAGAGGTGGGCAAAAACCTCAGCTAGGCAAGCAACCAAAACCAAAATAAACAACAGACCTTCGTGTTTGATGTTTTTAAGTCAATGATATGGGGTTTTTATTAAAAGATAAATGCACATATAATTAGGTAATTAAGTTGTCTTTTCTATGAAGGCATACCATTGTGACTACAGCCCTATTCATATCACACCTTATGGAAAAGGATGCCTTGGTCTGTGTCATTTAGAGTGTAATATTTACATCAAGGTTATTTTCTCTTTCTTGGATGATCTGGTAACAATTTCCCAATCAACAAAGTAATATTTATGTGTACTCTTATTAAAATAAACTGTGTTAAAACCTGAGGGGGAAATCATTGCATGAAGTGATTTACAAGTTATATATACTGCACAGAGATCAGGATCTTATGCACACCTCAATTTTAATTCAGAGAAAACCATGTCATTCAAATTTCTTTCCTCTTCCTGTTTTTCTCAGCTTCTCAATTAGTAGTTGGATGGACACCCTGATGACAGTGAATCTTGTAATTTAGTCATCTAATTCCTCTTATTTTCCTTCCCCTCTGGTTAAATCTTGTCAAATCCTTTGATATTTTGACTATTTGTAGAATTTATTTCTTTATCCAACAAAAACATTAACATCATGTTTGAAGTCTCCTAAATTATGCATGTTTGGTGTATGTTCTTTCAGGTGCCAGTCTGCTAATCTTGTCTTTCCTTTCACACTCTCCTCTGATGCTTTTAAGTCTTGTTCCTATTTAGGCGCTGATCTTGTAGTTGCATCTGTTTGGGAGGATCACCTCTCTTACGCAGAGCCTCAATGAACCTCCAATTACACAAGCAGCTTACATGGATGCCGTTATAATAGTAAAATACTATAACAAACGTACATTCTGTTTCTTTTATACCAACAATAGAATGGAAGACAGTCCATGTAGGGATAGGTCAGGTATTTGGGAAAAGCTTTAGTTTGTATAGAAGTCTTATCTGGATAATGGAAGTTAAAAGTTGGGTGGGGCTTTTCAGCCATAGCTGGGAGTGGAAGAGTCCAAGACAGGAAAAGTTTCAGCCAGTTGGTTGTGAAAAAAAAAGTCTGAGAACTAATATGAGAAGAAAAGAACATCTGAGGGGAATAAATTGATATTTTTTCAATCCTGTCTGACTGAAGTCAGACTCTCTTAAAATGGTTAACAGTCTTGGATTGCAGTTAATAAAGCTTTTAGGTTGGGACTACTGTGAATGTGCAAAAAGATAGGAGAGATTAGAACATTTCCAATTTTGTTTTGGGCTTTTTTCATGTCACTGGAATGGGAATCTGGTATTACCTGCTGTTCACCAGTTTATATTATGATTTTGTTTTTATATGGAAACTAATTTATGGAATGTTTGAAATGGGTTGAAATTTTGTTTTGTAATTTTTTTTTTCAGAGTTGGGAAAAAATAGGTAACATTTTCCCAGCGGTAGAACTTTTCATTTCTACAGGGAGATCTAACACTCTCTTGAGCAAGTTGCCATAAAAGCAACTGAAGTTTGAACTTCAGTTAAAGCACGAAGCTCTGTGAAAAATAGTGTCTTTTCCTAGGTTATGAGGAAAACTAAGATCAGTACAAACATGCTTCCAGTCATGGCTTTTTAGAGCCTAATTGAGTACTGCCTATTTCTTAACAACATGGAATACATTTCTCTACCTGGCCTGAACCATCATTTCCAACTGAGAAAGCTTCTGTTTTAAAGTAAATATGCATAATGAAAAGAGAGAACAAAATCCTTCCCACCCCTGTAAAGACATGGGAGAAAATGGTGGTGTGAAGGAAAAATAGTGTCTGAAGCCTGAAATTTCCTACATAATTTTGCCTGTGTTCTACGTATTAAGATGTTTATTTAGAAAAAAATACAGTATCTTGATTGTGCAAATACAACAAACAGAAATTGCCTCATTTCAAATATTATAATCAGTAAAAACAAAAATTTGCTGTTCTTCATTTCATTCATATCACCAAGGTGTGAACAACCTAGCCTGGATTTTTAAATGCTATTACTGTATTAATTAACAGGCAATCCTTTATCATTCTTTGTATTTACAAAATAAAACATCAAAGATTAAATATAAGAACTACGTCCACAAGAACTGTTAAATATAACTGCAGATACATAGTCTTTCTATTCCCGTTCTTTATTTTTTGGTTAATTTTAATTTAAAATATTACTATTTACATCAAAAGCCTACTGTGAAGTATGCTGGAGGTGCGACATGTAAATTGTAGCATTGATATTGGCACTTTTACTTGTGCATGTTTTGACTTGAGATTTTTAACTGTTAAACTTTAATATGGCTTTAATACTGGGTTTTTTTTCCAGTTATAACCTCTTCATTTCAGTTAACTCCTATGCACAAAGAATGGAGCCCTACTATGGTGGAACTTGCAAATATAAAGGACCATCTGCAAGGAGCAAATTGTAGGATCAGGGCCTTAATTATTAGGCATTTTCTTATTTCTTGGAAAATGGATTGCGTGAATGGCATTACTTCAGTTTTGGTTCTTCCTATGATTGAAACCCAAAGACAACCAGTAAAAGTGGTTGCTTGAAGATCTTTTTTCTGATAACTACACCACAGGAATGGTTAAAATAAGGTGAAAAGTATGCTTTACCCAGAACCTAGTTTGAACTGATTATTCTAAAAAAAAGAAATATATTGAACAGTTTTCTTAACACTCGCTAGATGGCACCTGAACTTCAAAAATGACTGCATGTTTTCTTGCAGATCT